CACACTTCGTACGAGGAAGAAGAATGATACCTGAAGTAGATACCGAAAGAAAGTTAGGGATCGTCTTTTCAATAAGTGGCTCACATTTTTGACTAGAGAATGTCATGAATTGTGGTGGGAGGGAGAGCTTTATACATCTTTTACTTTTATTTCGTAATCATTTCTTTCTTCTGTCAAATCACAAATATATTATTAAGATGAACGAAAAGTTCGGTGAGTTTATTGTATTATAAACTGCATAATGAAACTCAAGAAATTTTTGTATCAACCTAATAGACACGTTGTTTCTAATCTCATTTGCTAATTATTAATATCTGTATGAATATGAGTAAATTAAATAAAATCGATAAATTGATATCTTCAATTACTTGGACAATTGATCAATTGATACAGCTACGAAAATACAAGTTTGGTTAGTTAAAAATTGATATTTACATAACGTATCATCAAAGAAATAGTTGCATTTATATTTGCACATATTCTACTCCGAGCTGTTACGATTATATCAAATTACAAATATATTTGTTTAATCCCATTTGACAATTATTATTATCTATATAAATATGAATAAAATAAATAAAATCGATAAATAGATATCTTCAATTACTTGGACAATTGATCAACTAACATAGACACGAAAATACAAGTTCGATTAGTTAAAAATCGATATTTACATAACGTATCATCAAAGAAATAGTTGCATCTATATCTTCACATATCCTGCTCCGAGCTATCGACTATTCGATTTTTAGTATTATCTTGTTCTCTCAATCTCTCTCTCTCTCTCTCTCTCTCTCTCTCTGTTTCTTAGCGTGCACAATCGATTATACAATATCGTCGCGCCTGTTCGTCGTAAAAAGGAAAAGCCGCGCGACCTGCAAAGGTGATGCACGATGCCGCTTCGAAACCCAACCGGTTATCTAACTCTTCACGATACTCGCATATCTACGATATAGTAACTAAGAGGGACGAGGAAGCTTTAGGGATTGAATACGTATAAAAGGGAAAGAAAAATAAGGAAGAAGAAGGACAAGATTGAACGTTTCTGTTTCTTTGTTTTAGACCTTCGTGTTATTTCATGTCACCCATGTAACATAATATAAATTCGATATTAATAACATTTTAAACCTTCCACGGGTTATATATTATGTTATTTATTATTCAATTAAAAGTATAGAAATAAGGAAAGGGTATCGTGTTTGTTTAGACAAATTTTTTAATTTATTTTCTTTTTTTACTACTTATATTTGTCATTCTATACTCCGTCATTGCATTGCATTTTTCTACGTGGCGTGAACATACACTCGTACACACATTGATACGTACAAAATGTAAATTATCAATTTATTTCATAAAAAAAAAAAAATAAAAAAAAGCAAATGCGATTTAATGAAGATAAAAGAACAGAAAAAAAGTAACAATTTTCGAAATGCCGTATCTTTGTATTTCGCAAGTGTGTTTAATTCAGATCTCGAATACTCGTAAAAAATGATCTTGTGAAAGTACGCGAAAAAGAAGGGTTGATTTAATTAAATTACTATCATTTCGAGTTCGTTATTATTTATAGATTTGATAAAGCCTTTCTCTCTCTCTTTCTCTCTCTCTCTCTCTTTCTCTTTTTGAGTAAGATGATAGATGAGATGATCGAAAAATGTATGCCAACAACATTGACATCGATCCTATCTCAAAAAGATGAGATTCTCTTCTCTCTTGGATTATTCTTTGATAGAGAAGAAGAAGAACCCTGCATGGCGTCATTAACATACGACACGTTCTTATGTAAGCGGCGTATTCACTTTCTTTTCAAAGATTAACGCATATATCTTTTCCCACCTTCTATCTCACCAACACATACGAATATCTTTCTCTATATATTATGTTTCATATATTTTTCGTTTCGTTTATATATAGTAAGTATACCTAAAGAACCAAAAGACGATTTATTATTTATTCTATCGAGCATTGATTACGTTCGACAATCTTTCGAACGTTAAACGATGAACATCTCAAATCCTAACGCAATCGACTATATCGTATTTTTTTTTTCTTTTCTTTTTTATTTTTTTTAATTCCCCTTCCATCAACCCCCTTTCTACTTTTCCCTCAATAGAATTTCTTCTATTCACTCGTTAAACGTTATTAACTTATCTCTGAAAGCGTTAAAGATAGATTGTAGATGTTTGAAATTATCCTATACTTCGTTGTCTAATAGCATAACTCGTTTTCTCTTATGTTTAATAGTAGTTTTTAAACGCGGATTCTAATAAACGACGTGTGTCGTTTGCGTTTAACCAAAGTACTTACGTTTCACACGAATTAAAGAAAGAAAGAAAAGGAAAATAATTTCCGAACGTTTTTATCCAATTGTCGATTCTTTTTTTTTCTTTTTTTTTACTTTGCGTAGAAAAATTAAAGAGAAGGATATTCATTATCCTGATAACATAATTGTTGTCGAAATGTCGAAAAATGGTTGTCTTACGTTTGCTATTTATGTTCTTATTATTATTTTCTTTTCAATTTGCACACGTTTAGTTATGAAGAATAATAAATCTTTAATAATTATATAATATAAGATATTATTATTATTATTATTATTATTATTATAATATTAAAATTTTCGATCGTTAATTATGATAAGGAGGATTGAAAAGTGTTGAAGTATTTTCTGTCAGGACGACAATGGTAATACAATCTTAAGAACATCTCTAACAAGTTGACAGACTGTCCTTTCCTTTCTACTTGTATTAGATATTATCATACTACGATAGATCATGTGATTACGTTATACACGCAACACAGCTTGTTTCGTTTATATAGATATATTACCTTTTATTCCTGGAGTAATAAGAATTTTGATATGTAAGACACTTGTTTTGTATTTCTTGACGATTTTTTTTTATAGAACAACAAAAAAAAAAAGATTTGCCATTAAATTTTGTCTCCCCAAACGACAATGATAAACGCATAGAAAGAAAAAAATATATCCCAGAGGATTATTTATCAAAAAGTCAAGTTTATTCGTGAAATTATCGAAGACGAAACATCTACGAATGAAAAATGCATTATCCGAAGATTTTGAGAAATAGAAAAAATCTCTGGCATAAGCTTATTACATCTTATGGGGATTACTTTAAACGATAACAAAAAAGAAAAAAATAAATTTCAATGAATAAAAATTGTATATAATAATTCTTATTAATTTCTCGAGACACAGAAGATACTATAAAGAATATATTAGTAACTCGTTTTTAATTGAGCAACGAAATTATGCAAAATTTGACATTGAAATTCCCTTTCGTTTTTTTTCTACGAATATTTTATCGAATTTTTTGTTTTTTTCTTTCATAAATAATACAATCTATTACTCGGGTTTAACATAAAAATAAATATTGTATATCTTTCCATTGAGAACTATGTCTTATTTTTAAACGAATATATTAATAATTCATCACAGAAGGTCATTGAAATATGGGAATTTTTTGTAGAGGATAATAATTAAAGAAAAAAAAAAAAGGCGACGAAAAAATATTTCTCTATTTCGTTACAAGAGTTTAAAAATCTAACAATCAGATTAGCGATAGTTTCGGCTTGTGAACTTTCATCGCATGTTTAGAATTTCGCAATAATAGAAAGACCGTGGAATAGCGCAAAAAGGATTCTTCTTGTTACCTTCTTTATTCGAATTTAATTGGCACGATATGTTAAAAAAAAACTTACGTAGTTAGTTAGTAAGTATTACTTACATATTCTACGTTTATAATACGTTTTTTATAAACATTCGTAGTTAAATAGATTTAATATTGCATAATTCTTAACGAATAGTCCCAAAGTCAATTTCTTGAACAAGAAGAAGATGAAGAAGAAAATAAGAAAAGGAGTAGAAGGAGGAGGAGGAAGATCAATGAATGAAGATCAACGAGAATCGGTAAAACCTGACTAACCTTTTAAACGTGCGCTCATCTTCCAAAGTGCATTTTAAATTGCTTTGAGCTCTTTCTAGTAGCGTTAAATCGAATACGTAAACGTAAACGTAATTGTGAAATGCAGGTACAAAAGACAAATAAACTTATCGTTTTACGAAAAAAGATTAACGCGTATATATATTAAATTGGGCAAAACCGATAAGTAAAATATAATAAAATACAATTCAAAGTGTGATAATAACCATCGATATAATATATATAAATCGGATTAAAATTTTTAATTGATTGATTAAAAGTTAACTATAGGTTTAAGATGAAGTATTTTCTAACGATCGATGTTTAATATAATACAAATAAAAATGATTTAGGAATGAAGCATTGAAGTCTTCACGAGAAAGTCAAAAATGTTTGAACTTTCGATCAATGTGTTAACGTATTCGGAAAAAAAAAAACAACAACCGAGCTAGTTACACTTTCTTTGCATATCCATTAACAAACGACATAAAATCTCGTATATATACTTACTTATTATATACGAATCTAATCGACAAGTAGATAATTGGTATCCCATTGTCTAAGGATTATCTACCGTAGATCATCTTAACGGGTTGAACAAAGGACGCACCAGGGAGAACCGAGGACGAGATTATGGTGTCTAACATTGATGTTCTCCCTCTTCCTTGAAAACCTATATCCAACATATTAAAAAACCTCGACGTTCTCATTCTTTCGTTGGACCTTTCTTCATTCTTCTTATTCTTTTTTTATTTTCTTTTTGTCTTCTCATGGTCTAATATACACAGGTAACGGGTATTGTATCGTTCGTGTATCTTCCTAAACAACACATGGTCACGTCGTCGTACCATCACCGAGATGATGGGCCAATGCCGTTCCAGTAAAAAGATTTCGACACTCGACCAAAATTTCAGCACCGAGAGATCTTTCTTTTTCGGTGCTAAGGGTCGGGTGGGAGTTGGGGTACAGAGAGAGGGGGGGGGGCTTAATCGTAACACTGAATCTGCCTATATAATCAGCCGTGGGTTCTTCTTTCGAATCAGTAGAGTACACCAACTCATCTCGAAATAAATTTCTTCGACTCTTCGACGAGAGACACACACGAAAACAAATATTCATCCAAGATGAAACTGGTGCGTGTTATTATTTTACAAACAAAAATACGTGGGATGATGATATATATCTTTACTTGTGTACTATGGGATTTTCATTTTGTCTTCTCTTTTTTTTTTTCTTCTTTTCTCTCTTATAAAATTAATAATTCGCTGTTAGTGTGTGTTAATCGATTAAACGCGTACGAAAGTTTTCAACGAAATTCAACATTTTTTCTCGATAAAATTAATGAACACCATGGAATCGATAATTACGATCTTGAAAAATATATAATGCATAAATAATACGTCGTAAAAAACGTTTAATAATTTTTTCTCAATTATATCATACACACGGTACGATAACGTGTACCGATAACATCGATTCATTGCAAATGAACTAACGTCGTAATTGATTTTGCAATTATTTCGATAATTTTCCTTTTTTTTTTCTTCTTTTTCTTTCATTAATATTCTTTACGTGGAAAATTGACATCATCTCCAATCATTTTTAAAGATAAATGAAAAATTACATATAATTCAAATTAAAAAATTGAATTTTGTTCTTTCTTATTAGATCATAGCATTCACCGCCCTTTTGGCTGTCGCCCTTGCCCTTCCACGACCACAGCAAGAAGTTGTACTCGTTAAGGAAACACCCTCCGACAATATCGGCCTTGGTGGTTACAACTATGGTTACGAACTTTCCAATGGTCAACACCATCAAGAATCCGCTGAATTAAAAAATGCTGGAAGTGAAGATGAAGCACTCGTTGTTAGGGGTACTTTCAGTTGGGTTGACCCTGTTACCAATCAACGATTTGACGTCTCATATGTTGCCGATGAAAATGGTTTCCAACCACAAGGCGAACATCTCCCAAAAGCTTGATTTCATATTATTACGAGATAGATATAGACTATAGTTATAATAATAATAAAAAAATTGTTTTCTAACCAAATATCAAACAATATACTCGTTTTTATTTCCACACATACGCATCGTCATGCCATTTATTATTATATGGTAATAGGGTTAACGATACTTTCTAAATAATAAATCATTTTTAATATATGATTTTACGATAGTAAAGAAAATTTCATTTTGATTTAAACAAGAGAATTCTAAGTACTCGATCTCTGCTGCAGGACGACACGTGTTACGTTCGTACTACTTAAAAGAACAATCTTACGCATTGCACGCGTCTGCAAATGTTATTTAAATGTTAATTAGTCATTATCTAATATTTTAATACTAGTATTATGACGTTGCATTGAAATCGATATTAAATTATCGTTGAATATTTGAAACATTTATTTATTTTTATAGAAAATATTCGAAAGAAGATTCTTTCGTAAATTTTTATTGTTATTGATATTGGATCCACACAATCAATATATATATAGGAATAAATATAATGAATTATAAAATAAGAAACGCGATATTTCTTTACAAATATTATATATTACTGTGCAATGTGATATTTCTTTATAAATATTATATACTGCACTCACATTGTGTCTGTCTCTTTCTTTCTTGTAATACTTTTTACGTAACAATCCATATCTCATGCTATGCTTAACATAATACTCCTTAGTTAAAATACATAGGTGTACACTTTTGTGTTAATTGATATAATTGATAATATTTTATTTAATAAAAAATATGATGATAATAAAATACAAATTCATGTTAAACGAAATAAGATTGTCCTCATAATATTCTATTAAGTACTTGTTAGTTAAATAATAAAATGACTTCGTTCTGGAATCAACCCTCAAGTACAAAGGGTTTAATACAAGTGGATATGAATTTTTACCAATAATAATAATAATAATTTTTGATAATAAAATGCAATGAGGATAAAATTAATATTGATGTCAAGTGAAACAACATGATCCTTATATCGATTTTTTTGATGATAAAACAAAAATGAAAAAACAAAAAAAAAATAAATAATAACAGGATGAATATGAGCATGATTCGTTCGTTTGTAAGGTCACGAAGATGATAGCCGATTGCGTAAGAACAAATACCGCATAAAAGTTCGACGGATCATAAGACCAGTTTTCCTTGATCGATCCATCCGTGGGATTATTCAAGCTTGTAGTTTATTATTCGTGGATAAGTCGTTCCGATATGTCCAAGGTTCTCAAAGATTGATACCACTTTGTTAGTTCTTCCAGTAGAGAAATTCTTTCCCTTATAATCGATTCATATTTATTGAATAAATTGTTCAAACTTGATCCTTTATGATAGCCCAAAGCAATCTCTTTTTTTTTGTACGCTAATTCATATTGAATAATTCTATTATTAATGAGTCCTTCGTATATATATAATTCGAATATAGGTTTACACCATTGGTAAATACTGAATTATTCGATATCATTAATAATTTCTATCTAACCGAAGGTCAAACAGATTTTTATTAACCAGTCATCGATATCTTGCATAATTCATTAAAACTAAACTGTTGTTATTGGAATTATCAAATCTAGAAATATTACTAACAACATCCTTTAAATTTCTAAACATCATTTTTATCGTAGTTTCAAATTCTTAAGAAAGATACCGTTTTTTTATCTTTTTTTTTTCTCTCTCTCTCTCTTTTTTCATAACTTACAAGCATTTAGAAAGTGTTTTTCGAATTAAGAACGAAAGTTGACAATTAAATTAAGTATGAATATTTAATTTAATGAAATTATGTATACGGATTTTTTTTCTTCTTTCGTTCGTTCTTTTTTTTTTTTTGAAATTATTCGATCTTCACAAACGACTATGTTTCTTTTTTTATATTTCTATTTGAAATATTTTATCTTTAATGATATTCGTTAACTATCGGTATCTTTTATTCATAAATAGAAATTCTATGAAATAGTCTTTCACGTGAATGAGAGAATTTCTCGTAACTTAGAGACTTATTTTCTATGACTATTCTCATTCAATGGCGGATAATTGAGATATGAAGTACGTAACAAGTGAAGTATAATTAAGGAACTTTATAAAGGAGTCATTTGTATGATAAACATTGTTACTATCTTAAACGTATAATAATCATTGCATTAATGTATATATATTTTAATATAAACGTTCAAAGATGTTCGTGTATTTTATAATAGCAGTCTAAGATAATTTGTTTGTTTTTTTCTGATCACATGAAGAAAATATAATGTCAATGAAATTTCATTAAAATTAATTTCAACAATTTACGAATTACTACGTACAATCAGGATGTTAATATTAATTGATATATTAAATATATTAATTACGGAAGATACACGGAGGACGTAAGATAACAGGTAGTTGTTAAAGATGTGTATGTATTTAAAAAAAAAAAAAAGAAAAGAAACCAAAAAATTGATAATATTGGAAACGTATAGCAATGTGGGAAGGTCAAAATATCAGAGATGGCAAGCGGGCGTGTGCTCATCATTGGTAAAGTGGACAAAAAGTGAAAGGTGAAATTCAATGGTGGTGTAACGAAATTTTGGCAGTAGGAGGACCGGTATAAAATGACTGTAGCATTCTCAAATTTACCACAGTCGCATCCAGTCTTCTCTTTCAAACGAGACTAAGTCACAAAATTCGATTAGTAATCATGAAGATGGTAGGTATACAATCTATTAATTAATTCATTAATTTTTCTCTACAATAATCGAAATTCAAATTATTTGATCAAAAAATCAATCTGTATTATTATTAAAAAGCTAACAAAACAAATTGATTTATATTAGATTTTGTTTGAAATATATGAAATTTGTAATTGTATTTTTTGTTTTTTTAGATCATAGCCTTCTTTGCCGTTTTGGCTGTCGCATTGGCACTCCCAGCTCCTCAGAATGTTCACAAAGATGAAGTTGTGCTAGTTAAGGAAACACCCTCCGACAATATCGGTCTTGGTGGTTACAACTATGGTTACGAACTCTCCAATGGTCAACACCATCAAGAATCCGCTGAATTGAAAAATGCTGGAAGCGAAGACGAAGCACTCGTTGTTAGGGGTACCTTCAGTTGGGTTGACCCCGTTACCAATCAACGATTTGACGTCTCTTACGTTGCCGATGAAAATGGTTTCCACCCACAAGGGGAACACCTTCCGTCATAAATATATTCCTATCTACGAACAAAATCGCTAAACAATTTTAGGATCTGAACAAAACAATTCGAAGAAAAAAAAGAAGGAGAAGATGATGAAGAAGGATCGTGAGATTATTCGATTTGAAATTTCTTAGTTACCTGATTATTCATTTTTTAATGATTACTATATTCTCTTCATTCAACGACTGAGATCTGTAAGTTTTTATTATTTTCAAACATGTACAAACAAATTGATATTATTTCAAGAATATAATCGTTTTGAAAGAATTTAATGAAAACAAAATGAGAAATTCTGTTGTATCATACGTTCCAACCCTCTCCGCTTATCGGATGACAACTCTGTTCATATCGAAAGAGAAGGAATGAACAAGCATTTCTTTTCTACTTTTCTTTATATTTTCTTTTTCTTTTTTTTTTTCGCAAATACACCTGCAACACAACAGTTTTCTCCTTACGTTAGAAGACAAATAGTGGTTCAAGCATATAATAGCTTAGATTACAAAATATAAATGGCAATTCTATTCCTGGAGAATAACTAATACTTTCGAGATGAAATCGTCTGTAAAACTTGTAGAATGCCGATATCGGGGACAAGGATCTTCCAACCCTCCCTACCCCCTGCCACCCATCCCCGATGAATAATTCCTCAAAAGGAAAGGCACTTCGAAATGTTAATGTTCATTTGCCTCATTATCTTATTTTGTTTTTACTTTTATCTTCTTTTTTTTTTTTTTTTTTCTATCTTATTTATCTTTGTAGTTACGACGCGTTACGAATGATTTTTGTTGCCGTTTAAAATGTTTTCCAATTGGCAACGCATTCGTTTCACGAAATAAATGGGATGAAATAATCTAAAGTAATCGTCGAGTTGGAATATTAAAAATGAATAAAAAAAAAAAAAGAAAAGAAATTTATTAATTTATTTTTTCATTATATTTATAAAATCTCTAATATATATTTAAATATATTTCTTTTTTAAACAATCGATATAGAAACTAAAAACTAGAGACATCTTACGTTAGAATACACAATTTAACTAGCACAACGTACCTGTATAAAATCTGCCTTCAACGACGTCATTCAATTTTAATACCAACTTTTGGTCACCAGATAGCATTTTTAATTTATATAAATAATAATTAAGAAGAAAATAATATCAAATAAAAAAATTACGTGTATTCAAATCATATATATATGTTTTCTAAGATTAAAAATAAAAGCAATATTTACTGTATACTTCGATTAGAGATTTAAAATTAAAATGCAAACGCTATTCATCTATCACTCATATTAAAACCCCAATGCACATTCTTATGTTTATCTCTTTAAGCAAATGACACAAAACACAGTCTTTAATTAATCAACGATAAATGTGAAACAGATATGAACAACGATGACATCCTCCTCGATGAAAATGAAGTCAAAGTAGAAACTTCATCCGATCATTCAATTTGCCATTCAAGTAAATATAATCGTAATTATTAATTTATTAATATAACCTTCCTTTTCCTTTTTTGTTTCTTATCTAAATAAAATCATTACATATTAAATAAACAGAATTACCGATTGAAATAAACGAAGAAAATTATATAAACGATGAAGAAAGTTCCGATTGTAGTTCACCATCGGAATTGAAAAAACGTTTACAGGATTTATCATCAACGTACCATAATATACGATCAATAGATCCTTTAATACCTCTGAGTCATCGAATTCCTCTTATTAATCGATCGGACAAAGAAGATTATCAACATTCAAATCTTCTTAAAGAAAGTTCAACAAAATTTAATTCGTTGCAAGGAGCACGTGCACGAAGACGAGCCAAAATTCGATCGGAAATTTTAAACGAGATCGATAAATCAATATGTATGACAGATACTAAAGTAACAACAGATTTGTTTAATCATTTTTCAACGCAATCAGAAAACTCGAATAATATTAATAAAAGTTCGATGGAATCTTTGACGAAATTTTATGATGGCAAGGATACTTCGAGGTTTCGTTTTAAACCAAATACGTTTGCGGGTTCTTTGACGTCTCGAAGTTATTATTGCAAGAATTATGATGATGATGATGATGATGATGATGATGATAAAAAACATGATTTAATTAAACGCCAATCTAAATCAGCTAACGAGGATCGTATTAGTAAATGTAATAAATTATTAACAAATAAAATCGAACTTAATCCTATTTCACAATTATCTGCGAAAAATGTGCGCCCAATTAAATGTGGAGGATATAGGCCGCACACTGGTGTTATATTAAAAAATTTAAGTTCGAGTAGCGAATCTGAAAGTATTAATGAACCAACGTCGAATTGCTTATCACGAAAGATTAACAATCCAATAACAAATACGGAATTATCTTCGCCAATTTCTAGAACTACCTTAGACGAAAGAATATTATCCGTTTTATCTTCGAGAAGTGAAGATAATCAAGCGTTATCTTCGTTCAGATCGCTTCAAGAAATATCTCGAAATAAAATAATTAATAATAATACTAATAATAATAATAATAATGAAAGAGAAAAGATTCAAGAAAATGATTTGATTTCTATGCCAGAAAAATCAGGTGTTTTGAATTATTCACGTTCAGAAAACGTAAGACAGAAAAATGATCTATCTGATTTATCTAAAAACCGAAAAGGGAAAAGGAACTTGTCTTGTCCGTCTACCGCAAAAAATTGTGTAGAAAAAGAAGACTTCGTTTCAACAATGAATACTGCAAGATTTTTCAGCGATGGTCATTCTTCGTACGAAAATAATAAAGATAAAATTCCTTCATTCGTTAATGTAGAATTGATCGATGATTTAGAAACAGTTAATGCGTCTGATAACGAAAAACAAGACAACACAACCAGTGTACCAAGTTTACGATTGTATTCCGAAGATGTTTCTTGTTCTACGTCAGCTGGTAGCAAAACCTACACGCAAAATCGTTCCTTGGATAGTAATGCATTATCAAATGCCTTATCAAATGTTTCTTCAAATTTAAACCCCAGAGATATAGAAAATAATTCAACGAAAAAACGATACAGATCTTTCGACGATAGCGAAAATTTGGACACTTCGGAATCGTCTGATCAAAATATGATTTCGATTATAACTCGTCGTGAACCTGTTGTATCAGCGGATTCGAAAAATATTCACGAAAATTACAACGAATTTGATATTACCAAAGGATCCCGTAGAGCATTTTCAGCCCCTCATTCGAAATTACCTGCAAGACATTTAGTAAGTTGAAATTTTTTTTTTTTTTGTACGAAAAGAATAAATCTCGATGTTTAATTTATAATATTTATTCGCAGGTAAATGATCAGAGATGTAAATCAGTCGATTTATCGCGTGAAATGATTTACGTTCAAGACAATTTTCAATATCCTGAATCATTGTATTCCAATAATTTAAGTCAAACAAATTTGTCAGAAAGTATGGGATCATTGAACTTTGCCGAGGAATATCAGACATTTAAAGATCCATCTAGAATGTCTTATTTACAGGAAGAAAAGTATAACGCGTATTGTTCGGAATATTTGATAAGCTCGATATATCCAAGACAAAGTCATCTTTCCATTTTGCAAGAAGAATCAGAAACGAGACTCGAAGAAAATGGCTTATCCGAAGCAACATTTGAAAACAAGGATTCTCCTATTGTAAATGTTGATAAAGAAAATATTAATCGATTTGAATCAGACCAACAAATGTTAACTACCTCGTCTAAAAATCAAAATATCGAACAACAAAATTCTATTAAGTTGAATGAAACTAATATGATTCAAGATACAATTGAAAATTCAATGGACAATCAATGCAATATTAAAAAACAGTCTAGTCGTACGAATTTAATTTCTGCATGTTCTACGAATAATAATCCTGACATTCAAAAAACAATACAGGACAATAAAATAAAAGATTTTAACGAAGAAAAAGACAACGAATACAAAACGAAAGAAATATCCTCGAACGATAATATCGATAGGAATAATCTGATAGAAAGTATAATAAATAAAGATATAAAATCGTGGACAAAAATCGAAGAAAAGACGAAATTAGAAAGTTCAAAGATTGTTCCAGCGGATAGAACGATGCTCGTAAGAAAAAATGTTCACGAAATGTGTACGGTTTCACCAAAAGTTTCTTCTTCAACATCGAGACTTCGTAGTACGTTTGAAAATAATACAAAATCTCCACGTTTTAATAATAAAAAAAGTCAAGATCGTTTTCCATTTACTATATCAGAAACTGAGAGTACAATGTTGGAAACTAGACACAATGTTGGACGTTGCAATAATGTTACCAACAAATCGAGATCTTTGGAAACGTTTCGCGAATTACCATATCCAACTATAACTGAATTTTTTGTTTCACCTAACGATTATTACGCATACAACGAACGCCAAGAACAACGAAATATTTTACCAAAGATGAAAGGATTTGTTCGTAAGTTTTCGAACAAATTAAAATCGTCACTTAAACATAATAACAATGATCACCATGATCATATGGAAATATCGACAAAGATTATTTATCAAAATCAAGAATGTCAAATAGATTCGATTCCCGAATCGTTTTCGGACGAATCGATCATTGAAGAATCCCAATTGATCGTACCAAAATCTGCTAATACCAGATCGTCCATCATTTCTAGCGGTAAATCATTGAAAAAGACAATGAGCTTGGAAAACTTGACCCTATGCACGGAATATCCTCGTAGACGATACGATCGTGATGATAGATGGGTCAAAGAATTTCAGGAATGTTCTTCGCAACGTACAACAACCAGGACATCGTCCAAGGAACGTTTTTCTATATTTCCTTCTAAAAGCGAGAGTAGTTCATTGGTCGAAGATATTTCCAAAGAATCCTCTAGATTAGAGGATAATAATATTCCAAGTAATAATTATAAAAATGAAGATTCGATGATGAACGTTTCAACATCTTCTTTCGTGTTACCAAATTCTATGAAAACTAAATTTAACGTTGGAAAGGATCAAAATTCTGATACGGATGATATTAGTATTAATAACATGGAAACTGGTGGTTGCATTTGTTTTAAATTGTATCGAATATTAACGTGTTCTTTTTACGTAACGTCGAAAGATCGAACTTCAATCGCGAAACCGAACGAATCGTTGATAGAAATTAAGAAAAAGAAAAAGAAAAGGAAAAAGAAATTTGGTTTATCGTTGAAATGATTTAAAGGGATGATTGATTATTCTTCGTTCCATTTAACACATCCATAAGAATATTTTGCCGCTTGTTCTTGTTCTTGTTGTTATTGCTGTTATTTTTGTTCTTCATGGGTCAGAATACTTTCTTATAATTTATTACGCTACACACATAAAACTCGTACGTAATGTTTTCATGTATTTATAGCGATATATTTTCATTTCATTAATAGCCGATTTAATAATAGGTACTATTTAACCCTTTCGTTACTAGTACAACCGATACAAAGGTTTCACATTAACGACTTGACCCGTAACAAAAGGGTTAACATTTCATTTTTTTTTTTTTTTATCGAAAAGCCAAAAAAAGGCACGCACCGATCGACACCGAGTGTGTTGTTTTTTAAAACACGCCAACTGTGTAAAAACTTAAATAATATGCATTTATGTCGTCGTTCGTCCTTGTTACTTCTTTTTTTTTTTTTTCTTCTTTTATTCGTTTTGTCCTTCGTTTATTAATTTTATTTCGCCGTATATTCGTACATGTGTCTCTCAGATTTTTGTTATTCTCAATATTATATATATTGTTAGCACGGTTCTCTTTCGAATTCACTTCCAACCCATGTGACATTAATCGTGTCTTTTATCGAAGAATACGGTATTATTATTATTATTATTATTATTATTATTATTATTATTATTATCGAGTGTTTTTATCGCTTTAATAAAACGCTTCCTTTGCTACGCTTTTTTTTTAAACTTATTATTCGTTATTTATCGCGTTATAGAAAAAATAAGTCTTTAAATAATCACATAAGAGTCGTCGAGCCTTTTTTTTTTTAATAGATTGGAGAATAGAGAAGGGGTTTGAAAGGATAGGAGAAGAGGGAAAAAGGAAAAGGGGGTAAGGTTTCGAAAGGAAGGGAAGAAGGATAAAGTTAGATGGGAGGAAACATTCGTACAAGGGTGTAAATGCGTCGCACACGTGTTTTATACACATAAATATCTGTGTATGTGTGTGTGTGTTTGCGCTCGTGTATGATGGAATAGAAAATTCATATTTCGTTTAATAATAATTGTGTCGAATATAACGTGTCGTCGTATTGAAATTCGCGACAATTCGGTGTTTAAATAGGCTGCTGCTTGCTTATTTATGCATTTTTATTCTTTTTTTTTTTTTCTCTTTTTTTTTCTCTTTTTTTCATTCTTTCAAAGTGATCTCACGAAAAAACAGCACTCTAACGTCTGTAAAAGAGATATTATTTATTATTATTATTATATTATTATTATTATTATTATAATTATTATTATTATTATTATTATTATTATTAATAATATTATTATATTAATATTATCATCTAATCAATCCTCACGATAACCGATTACGAATATAATCATGTATCTCTTGTTAACAATAAAACACTAGATCTCGACAATCATATTCGATTGGTTAATTGATTGATGCGATCGATAATGATCGCAAATACCTGCTGGCATAAAATAAGAAAAAATCGACTTCGCTAAAAGGGAATATGCGATCTCTACGATCCGTATCTCTCTCTCTCTTTCGTGTTTGTTTCTTTCTTTTTTCTTCCTTCGACGTCCCTGAGAAAGGAAAGGAGAGGCTTATATATAAACGGGTCGCTTTTATCTTTTTTTTTTTCTTTTTTGTTAAAAACGACATTTCACTCAATTACAATAAACTTTGAATCAAAATCGCAAATTCGCACTCGTCGGGTGATGATGATTAACGATAGAACGTAATCGATTAAACGTATTGTTTTACACCATATAGGATAATACATATATTACACAGGTACGGATTTATTTATTAATTTTTTTCTTTCTTTCTTTCTTTCTTTTTTTCTATCTATCTTTTTTTTTTTTTTATGCTTTCCCGAAACGCACGCATGTATTTCTATTAACGCGTTAATATTTTTCGTTTAAATCTTATTATTCCTCTTCGTATTTCGTCTTCTACAATTGTTCTCGTCTTGCTTTAATTTATTATATTTTTTATTTGTTAAATGGGGAGATGGGGGTGGGCCGGGGTGGGTTGCGAGCATCATCATCCACCGCAGGCGCAGGGCCGTGTATCGATCCTCTTCCTGCGATGCTTTAATCTACGCAAGTACGTTTTTTAATTTTTTTTTATTTCAGCAGTGACGACTAACACATGTGATGGATTATTACGAGAATTATTTTCTTCTTTTCCTTTTGTGTGTGTGTTTTTTTATATTTTCTTTCGAAAACGAGACGAAACACTCACTCACTCTCTCTCTCTCTCTCTCTCTCTCTCTCTCTCTCTCTCTTTCTCCCTATCTCTCTCCTTGTCTTTTTGTTTTTTTACGTGGCGAGTTCGAGTTACGCGCGGATAGATTCTGAGATATTTAGAAGAAAGGGGGATAGAAATACAGTAAAATCTGGCACGATAACTTTTAGAAATATTTAGCGGCTATCTTTTTAATAATATTTTGGCTTCTTTTTTTACGCGTTGATTATTTTTTTTTTCTCTTTTCTTTTTTGTTTTTTTTTTTTATCTTTTTTATTTGTTTTTTTGTTTGTTTTGTTTTTTTTTTTTTATCTCTCGTTTATACGAAACAAATAATATCGTGTCGCTAATTAAAGCGATGCGTCCGCACGCCGTGCTAATTAATTTGTTCGTACGGGTGTGGCCGTTCGCACGCGCGCTTTATAAGTCAGTCACAAAAAAGGACAACCTACACCACGACAATGACGACGACGATATTATATAATTCCCAATTTAAAATCATCTAAACTCGTTGTACGCGTTTCATCGACTCCTTCCTTCTTTCCTTCCTTTTTTGTTTGTTTTTTTATTTTTATTTTTTATTTATTATTATTCATTTAACAATGACGAGATTACGATCGACCGACAGACCAACCGACCGACCGACGAGTTTCTATTTGCGAAGAATTCATTTTTGTTGGTTTTTATCTTTAAATGGTTCGTCGAAAAAGGGCTAGAGATGACAATGACGTTGACGATGTTTAAACCAAGACGAACGAGAACGAGACCGAGAGATGCGTTGCTTGCTTGCTTTTTTCGTGTGATTTTTGTTTGTTTGTTTAAAGCTCGAATAATATTCGTTAAGAAGAATTTGGATGTGGAGAAATGGTGTTGGTGGATGGAGGGGGTTTCGAATAAGGACGTCGTTCGTTTCCTTATTTTGTTGACGGTTGACAACACTCCGCTTTGTATTTCTTGGTTACTCTTTTTTTTATTCTTCCTTCGTGTACCGTTTAAAAATCGATTTTGTATCCGTTTGCCTGCCTGCCTGCCTGCCACCGGTGTTCATCGATCACGGGATTCCTCATCGTCGTTGTCGGGCACGCTAGTTCGTTTCTGCTCCTGCTGCTTCGTAGTTTTTAACGTTTCTTCGTCGCGACTCATATCTTCCGTACGAGATTTCTCAGTTAAATTATGTCACAACGGTGGCGGAATGGAAAATTCCTTTCTTACATAAAACAGAATATAAGGCTTGCACTTTGCGACTGCGTCGGTGCTAGCTGGACGTACCGAACTGTCATTGAAGTGGAACCATTGACCGTCGTGTACGGCAAATGCGGTGTAATGTCCTGTGCCAGCACTGCGAAAACAATACATTTTTTTATTATCCATATCACTCATTGATTCTTTTCAAATTATTTTTAATCGATTGAATTAAATTGAACTTTGTCCTGTTAACGGATTAAGATAACTCAAACTTCGTTAATATTGCAGACAAATTCATTTGAACGATTAGAAAAGTATGTCTATTTTTTTAATCTTGAAATCAGGAATTCGTACCCAGAACCATGATGAACAATGACAGCGGCCAAATCGTAAAGATGACTGTTTTGGGCCCCCAATTTTATGCCGGTCATACCTCGGACGGTAAATGCCGACATATCGAGAGATTCCATCGGAAAGTCTACCTGCGTGTCCACCTTCGAACGATATGAATTACACCACCTAAATCTTTTAATGTGAAGGCACAACACCTACAAATGATAAATAGATTATAGAGATATAGTATTATCATCAAATGAGTAATAAGTTTTAATTTATAATTAGAGAAAACAATAATAAGATACTTCTTTTTTTCCGGAATACTAACGTTAGGCAGCCTATGAATCCAGAACCTCTTGGTGGACCGTTGTTTCCCCATACAATTATCGCAAAAGTATAGTTCGCTGTCAGCCAGTTCCTCGACTTTGAAGAATCTCGTTAGACTATAGGTGAGACTACAGACCTCTTCCTGTTCCTTCGTACGTCTTTGAAGTCTATCCGGTATATCCAAGGAAAGATCCTGGAAGGGTTCGTGGGTCTTCGAATCCGTACGGCAGTTCATGCAGTGGACCTGCGCGAGGAAACGCGATCCATAATTCGTCCGCGCTTCTCCCCGAACAAGAGAAAACGAAGAGGATGACTTTTGTCGAAGAGTCTCGCTGAGAGCGTTGCGAGAGGAATTAGGGCTTTTTGTGTGTCTCTGTCTTTGTCTCTGTGCGTGTATGTGTTATTTGTTTTTCTTCATTCGCGAACACGCGTTCAGAGATAAATTGTCGATAGGTGTATAATAATCAAAGATGTGGATTAAGAGTAAGATAAAGAAATAGATAAAGATAGGTAGTATAGCAAGCTCGCAACGAGCTCGACTTACCACGCTGAGTAGAGTGCCACCAAAAACGGCGGTGACGATGCTCTGCTTTCCACGCAAACCGAGAGGCTCGTGTCCAAGCCTAGGTAATAATTGAAGCAACTCTGTGTGCAATCTATCTAACATATAGGTGAGAAACTCGTGAGCGTCCTGTTGTTGATAACCCCTGAATCTCGGTACGACCTTCCATATTACGAGGAAGAGGCATTCCGGGGAAATGGCTTGACCATTCGAACCGCCAAGACTCAAACCGAGAAGTACCTTTCGTAGTTCCTCGGCTAAAAGGGCATCGCTCATAAGTTCCTTGGCTCTTCCTGGTGTTACGATGCGACCTCTGTGAGTCGGTGGTTCCGATGGGTCAAAAGCTATACCCTCTAGGCACGGCATTTGTGTGAGGTATTCGCAAAAGTGGCTTATGTTGTTGAACGATTGTAATACAACGTTCATGAAACAAGTATTCCCAAGATTCCTCAGGCCGACGACCTTTTTCTCTTTGGTTATCTTCGAGCTTCTACGTTTGGTCGCTGGCCTATTGTCCCCGCTGGTGCCGTCCAACGAATGCAACCTCTTCCTCGCCGTTCTCGGTCGTAAATTTCTCACGACAACCTCGGCCTTCCATAACGCATCAGCGTCGTTGTCCTCGCTACTCTCCCGTCTTGATGATGGCGTAGTCGTACTCGTTGTACTCCAACTTTCGTCGTTCTCCTTGTGCTCATCTTTTCGAAATATTATTCGACGTATCTTTTCTATTTGACCACCTGTCGTGTCGTTTATCACGTATTCGTCGCACGTGTAACTGCGAAAATAACAAATATCAATCATTACTAAATGTTATCATATTTATTTTCTTCCTATGAACGAGCTAAACCGAACGAAACGTTTTGTTCCATTGGTTCGATCTATTTCACAGTCTTTATCAATTAAATCAATCATATTGAAAAACATAAAAACCTGACTTTTCCAACTCACCAAAAGACCGAGAGGTTCTCACAATCGATGCACACGCAGTGCTGAGTATTATTCTTCTCGTGATGCTGCAACGCGTGTCCTGCCTCGTACCTTCCACAATGAACTGCTCCGCAATGCAAACATAACCAGGTACTTTTCTCGGTACCGCATACTGTTATTGGTCGTCGTGGGTGGATCGTACCAAAACAAAAAACAAGAAAAACTATAATTAGACGTGAGAACTCGGAATAAAACAAACACCTTACACAAATTTATTTAATCGACCGTCTTTTATTAATAGAAACCACTTTTTTTAACCACTAAACCGTAAGACCCGTGTTGTATCCTGTTGATAAAAGTCGACGAAAAGAGAAAGGGGGAAAAAATATATTAGGAGAAAGAATTTGTTTTACATATTTTTTTTTCTTTTTCTTTTTTTTAGAATCGTCGAGACGATGACGTCTCGACGCCAACCATCCCCAGTCGCAGAAATGCAATATATCTGGTGATTGAGAAAAAGAAAAAAAACAAAACATCGCATTTGGTTTTCCCCGTGTTGCGTAATATCGAAATAAAATATGGAAATGGCGAGGAGAAGAAAAAAAAGAAAGTGGGGAGAGAAAAAGAGAGTTGGAATAAGAAAGAGAGAAGAGGGGAAGTGGGGAGGGGTGGTTTAACACACCCCCTTCGCAGCAGAGACTGGCCGATCGATTGCGAAATATGCCTTGGAAATTTGTCCCGTTTTATTATTCCATTTTCTTCGTTCAGTTCGAGAAAAACGAGATTCTATCTTTCGGGAACTTTCGATATCTAATCGAGACGGTGAGTGAGAAATAAAAAAGGTAAAAACAGAAAAAAAGAAAATGAAAAGTAAGAATAGAGAAAATATATCGAAAGTCTTAATTAGAGGAGAAACTTGAGACGGTGTTTAGCACGAAATCGTTGCTGTGAAAAAAAAGGAAAAGAAAAAAGAAATGGAAACCGAGTGGGGTGTAGCACGGTAGGATCTATAGGGTGGAGGGTTTGAAGAACAGCAGCACCGAACGAAAGGGGACGCGAGAACCGAGACGATGTTCACTCGCGCGAGAATTTCTACGATGAGGTAATCTGATATGTCCCAAGTCAAGGTCGTTCCCAGGTGGACATTCTCATCTCTCTTGGTCGACCACCCACCCCATATAGAAGGAATACACGGATATGTATATATGTGCATCATATCTCGCATAACAAACTGCATTGTATTGCGAATCGTCAGAAAAATATTTCTACCCCTTGTTTATCAATTTTCCAAACAATTAATATCTGTTCGTAATGCAATATTTGTTAAATTAATATTTCACATGCGTGTATAGAATAATTTTATTGACATCAAAAAATTGCATTATATGAGACAACGCAATAAACCCAAGAAACTTTTGATTCATCCTAATATTATATATACAGAAATATATCTTACGATATTTTATTTCTCATTTTTAAATAATGATACAAATTTTCATTTGCGAATGAAAATTGATTCTCGAAAGATACTTTTGAGTAATGTTATATGCTGATTTGTTAAAAAAAAATATCATACGTTTTTGTTTATCTATAATTCCTACATTTGGTAAAATATGATATATGCGTTTCCTGCGAATGATATATTAAATATAGAAAAAAAAGAGAAAAAAAGTCTAAACGTTGCATATTAATGAACACATCATCATCATCATCATCGCAACCTTGTAGAAAATAAACGTATAAATAAAAAAGAGAAATTCTCTACAACGGATAAAATTGACATCATCGGTCACGCGCGTATATGTAAGTAAATAATGTTCTCTTCTTCTTCTTTTTTCTTTTTTTATTTTTTTTTTAATATATAAAAAGGATGCAAAAAAGAGTCCAAAGTCCAAACTTTCCAATATGATTAGCGACGATATTTAAAATGACGAAGAAAAAACCGATATGAACGAAACTGTTGACTAAAGAATTTGACACTGGCATGAAACGAACGTCAAACTCGAGGCATACTTTTCGAACTATTATTGCATGCATGCATACACACACACACAAACACACACATACAATATTTATATACGAGCTATATCCGAATGCTTGCGTCGTAGCCGGTGGTCGGTACGTGCAAGGAGTGTATATAGGGATCGATTAAAAAATAAAATAAAATAAAATGTTAAAGAAGAGACATAGCAACCCGATACATAACCGATTTTATATCCTCACCTATCGCATTCCGGTTCGATGATAACAAAGAAAAAAAATCCTACGTTCTTCGTGTGTCTTTAACCTTTCTTTTTTTTAACAATAATTTTTCTTAAAATAATAACGACGACGACGAATGCATTTCCAATTTACATTAAAGCATAAATCGATACATACGCGTAAGAAATGCACATACAAATATTATACATGAATTCCATAAATAATATACTTAGAGGATAAGTATCAATTGTAAAATAAATGTGGTAAGATAATAAAAAAAAAAAAGGGAGGAAATAATAAAAAAACGAAACAATTGTTGATGCATCCAACATTTGCATTCTGTTATCGAAACATATTATAAATGTAACATACATCTAATAAAAAATTCGTTGCATTCGGAATCATCCTCGTGCTTACTACGTCAGAGTTTCTTTTTATTCAACGTTCCAAAATCAATTTCCTTCGTTTGTATAGATGCCTATAAACACGTCGATGGGATTACAAAAGCATTGTGGTGGTGGTGTATCGGACGACAGCCATGTATAGAACAGAGAAACGTTCATTCAATATCGTGCTACTCAATGAAGTCCATGTAATACCGGGTGTGTCGAAAGTGTTTTGCCTATTCGAATACCGACATCGTCCAAAAGTCAAAAACACGATATATATATATAAGTATCCCGATGACTGGCTGTATCTATTAAGGGGCACACCTTAGTGTGAACGCTTAAAAAAAAGGTGATTTTTGGGAATTTTTTTCAAGAAAACTACTACATGAAATATTTTAAAATTTAGAGGATATATTTATACATAATTAACGAATATTCAATAAAATTTTCAAATGAAAAAAGATAATTTTCAGCGAGTTATTCGCTATCTCTTAATTTACTAAAAAAAAGGGCTTAAACGGTTGCAGTGATTCCGGCCTTCAACGTGGATGAAATAAAAAACAAAAGAAATACTGTTAATCTAGAAGGTATTGTTTATGCAATGACCTAAAATTGTGAAAAAAAATTGAAATTAAAAAAATGGCAGACTTTTAACAAAAACACATCGAATTTTTGCTTTCTAATCCCTGACCGGCTACTCTTTAGAAGGCTGTAATTCTAAAACTATTAGAAATATTTATTTGAAATTTCAGTATGTTATTTTTAAAGATATAGATTTTCAAAATTTCACACAAGGTGTGCCCCTTAAATAAGAAAAAGATAAAAAAAATAAATTCAAGTGTACGATCGGGGCGTTGATTAGGAGCGCCTGAGAAGGAATCCCGGAGGAGAAGTTTCTCTCGCGAAATTCGATATCTTTGAGAATTCAAGGATAGGCGTGCGTGGGCGTGAAGAAGTAAACGTCGGTTCGATTTCGTTACGTGTTGTGTCTGTAGTACCGCTTTGCGAAAAGGACCAATCTCAAAGAATTAGAATAGGAATTGAGAGATAAAAGAAAGAGGAGACATAGAGAATCCTTGCTTGCTTTCTCTCTCTCTCTCTCTCTCTCTCTTTCTGTGAGAGTGTTCGCCACGCCTTGGATGCGTTCTTGTGGAAAGCTCTTTCGATCGTCTCTCGCGATCGATAAATCGACGCTGTGCGGCAACGAGAAAGAGGAGGAGGAGGATGGCGTTGCAACGGGACACGAAAGAGGAAGAAGAAGAAGAAGAAGAAGGTAAAACTCGTTCTTGCGAGAGCGACGGACTGCACTCTCGCATCCTATTAAATGCTGCCAGGCAGAGGCAGCAGCAGCAGAAGCAGAAACAGCAGCAGCAGCAGCAGCAAAGCGTGCCGTTATCGATTTTGCAACGTCGTCGTACTCGAAGCAGTCTGCGGAGAGAGGTACAACAGGAAAAGAGCTGGTGGTGATGGTGGGGTTGGGTTGGTAGTAGTAATAGTTGTTGCTAGTAGTGGTACTTCCAGTGATAATGATGATGATGATGATAATGATGATGCTGATGCTGATGGCAACGAGATTGAGACCTTTTATCGTTTCTATGAGGGACCATCTTTTTTTCTCACGACGACGACGACGACGAAGTTGTTGATGATGAAGATGATGATGATGATGATGATAATTATGACGTGGATGAAAAGTCAAAAAGACTTGAAGAATCATCATCGAGAGGCATTATCATCGATCCTGTCTCACATGCGTTACGATTCGTCGAGCGTGCAACGACGATCGTTCTCAGTCAGTCGACTCGAATGCATCAGAGAATCAAAGGGGGAAAGAAAGAGATAAAGAGAAAGAGAAAGAGAAAGAGAGAGAGAGAGAAAACTAGATGGAGAGAGGGAGTTGCAACGAACACCGTTCCATGCGATCCCCCACGTGTTTCTGAATCGTCCTACTCGTCGAGATTCGATCGTGTGTTGACCGACTAGACGGTCGTTGGAAAAACAAGCTTTCGTACTCGTCCACACACATGTGTGTGGGTGTATACATATGTGTACGTTTATGGAGAAGGGAGCTTGACTCATCGTTCGTCCCATTCTCTCTCTCTCTCTATATCTCTCCCTCTCTCTTTCTCTTTCTTTCCTTCTTGCTATACCTACATGACGCTTCGTTTCTTTTCCTCCCTATTCCCTCCCACCACCAATTCTCTCTCCCTTTCTCCTACCCTTTTACCCTTTCCTTCGTAACCTCGGAGGAAGAAACACCTTCCATCGTTTTCTACGCCGTAAGGATTGTGAGTTCGATGAAATCAAATAAATAAATTATTCGTTTTGTTAAGCGAGCCCACATTGTGTCTTTTTTCGAAATTAAACACAATTGTTTTGTTAAATCATATACAATTTCATACTCGTGGTATTTTTTAATAATCTGTTTACGTGTTAATATATATTATTTTTTTTTGTAATAAAGATGAGAGAAAAAAATTGATCTCAAAGATTTCATAGGAAAAACAATCTCAATATATATTCGAATAGTTTCGAGATAAACTTGAAAACTCGCGTTCGATCTTTTGTACATCTGAGATCTCGCGAAATCGCTGGGAGAGCTTCTCCCAGTTCGCTTCACCACCACCACACCATTACCACCACCATTACTACTACTACTACTACACTACTATACCATAACCATTATACCATCACCACCATCGCGGTGATTCTTTCGAGAATCTCTCCCCACGTACCCCTCCCTGGGCAACCATAAAAGGTTCTCCCGCTAGAATAAAGAAGAAACGTTGCGCTTAGAGTTGTTCGTTCGAAGTAAAACAACGACGATAAGGAAGAGAAGGAGGACAACTCTACCTGCCTGCCTGCCTGCCTTACCTGCCTTACCTGCCTGCCCTGTAACGAAAAACTCGAGAATCGAGCTTTGACCTGGTAAATCTAGATCTCCTTAAGAGGGATTGGCGAGCAGAGAATCTAGCAGGATTGATTATAATCAAGGTAAGGATTGAGTTAAGAGATAAGGGGCCAGATTCTAAGAGGAGAGAAACGAGAGAGAGAGAGGGACGGTTGTTCTCCAAAAAAGAGTTTAAAAAGATTCCTCAAACAAAAAGAAAAGAAACGAGGAGAGAAGAACGAACGGTGCTGTGCACGTTTTTCACGAAGTAAATATAGTTTCGAGGTCGTGCCAAAGAGAAAGGAAAGGGTGAAGTATACGAAATGAGGGGACCTTCTCCAGCAAAATAATACAAAAAAAGAAAACAGGGGTATGTACATAGAATCATAGCAAAATTGGTAAAATACAGTGGCATAATATCGTTTACGATTCGTAATATCGTCCTCCTATAATATTTTAATATTGAGAATATAATATCGAATTAAAGAAATCAATTAAAGTAGATAATCGTGTGAGATGCAATGATAAATCTCGTTCAATTTCATTCGAAACGATTCGTGGACATCGTCTCGTATTTTAATGTTGCACACGTCTTAGACAAACCGAGTACTCAGTTTCACTGAATACTTTGATATTGCATCTTACGCGCAAAACAAAGTGACCAATCCAAGTAAAATAAAATTGTAATAAATCGGGGTTAAACAAAAATTAACATATGCCCACCATTCGTTAATTCGTTTAAATAGATTACAATAATTCGTTAAGTTTTCTTATTGTTTCTGGCTTGTGTGTTCGCTGCGTCGTGCGTGTTCCGTTCATACGAACAATGTTAGGAAAAAGAGAGATGGATAGAGGAAGGGAAGATGAATGCTCGGGCTCAGGGAGTCGAAGAAAAACGTCGTCGTCGTCGTCGTCGTCGTTGAAAAGAGAAAGAAATATATATATATAAAGAGAGAGAGAGAAAAAGAGAAGTAGAAGTAGAGAGACATTGGTCGTGTGCTACCGAAACGACGCGATCTCGAGCCAGCTGATTAGTGCCGTCTGGTATTGATTTTCCAATGACGGCCGCGGCGCATACCGAGAACTCTTAGCTAGGAGTACGCATACGCGCGCGCTGGGACCTATCTATCTTTCTTTTTCTTTCTTTCTCTCCCTCTCTCTCTCTCTCTCTCTCTCTCTTTTTTACCCGCACGAGAAAGAGAGAGAAAACAGGCATACACACATCTAAAACCAAACGTGTTCTCCTCTTCATATACATATACATATATATTATATCTGACAGACGATACATATGTGTGGTGTGTGTGTGTATGTAGAATGACGTGTAAGGAAAGAAAAAGGTGTTACACTGACAAATAACTCGAGGACTATCACCGTCGGTGGTTCGGTGAACGGATCGAACAATCTGATCTCTTCTCCCACGTTCGGTTCGGTTCGGTTCTTTTACAAAGAGAAAGATATACATAAAGAGAAGGGAAAAACGGGGAGAGGGTAAATGAATCTTTAAAGAGCGTGTTTCTCGTTCGTTCGCTAAAGGGAAATGGTAGCTGATGATCGCGCTTCGTCTCGTTGCCATCACGACGACAACTCAAGGCCGCGAGAGGAACGGCCTGGGCCTGGGTCACGGTGCAAAAGAAGGAAACGGATATAAAGTTAACCGGAAATAGGTAGAGAGAAAGAGAACTATAGTGATTAAGATAAGAAGAGATAAAAAGAAGATGGAATAGGAAATGGGGCCGGGTTGAAATGGAATAGATTTGGTATATAAATGAAAGTATTCTCTTACCTGCGCAAACGAACGGCAAATCCTTCGTGCAGGTCGTTTCAACGTCGTTAGCATCGAGTCGGACGCTTTGAGCGAGGTGCGGGCACTCCATCTTTCGCTGGCTCCACGATTTCAAGCGGGGCCCCCTCAAGGCCCCCCGTTCCTTTCTCTTCCCACCGTGCGTGCGTGCGTAAATGCGTAAGTGCGTCTCGCGGCGTGCACCGAATTTTCCTTAGGATAATATATGCTTTCGAGACGAAACGAAACGAGATGAGACTACTGCATTAATAGTAGTAACTCTTTCTATCTTCAGTTACTCTCGCTAGCTTATACACGGCGGCGACTCACGCTCGACCTATCTTTTTCCTTTTCTAGCTTTCTGTCTTTCGTCTCGCACGCGCACGTCTCAACCACTACCACCATCAAAGCAGCATGTACCAACCACACGCACTCTAAGGAATGAACGAACGAACGAGCGAACTAACTAACTAACTAACTAACGAACGGACGAACGAACGCACGCACGCACACACATATCCACGCACGCACACACACACAACGGTCTCCTCTCCTTCTGTCACTCTCTTTTTCGCACGACCGACTGCCTCCGTGGAGAGATGGGTATAACGAGAAGGCGGGGGGTGGTGGGGTGGGGGGAGAGGGGGAAATGAGCGAGAGAAAAAGAGGATAGGAAGGGAGTAATAATATATAGCGGGCGGGGTACACACACAGCAAGTGCCCCGTGATATCCGTCACATAGCGCGGTGGGGATTTTCGCCGGGTGTGTGATCGGAAAAAGAAAGGGGAGTCGGGTGTACGAGTGCGCAGATTGAGAGGATCGACTGACAGACGATACGACGGAGGAGCGCAAAGAGAGAAGAAAAGTCCTCGCGAAGGAGGTCGAGAAAGAGATACTACGAGAGTTACGGTAAACTCCAGGCAGAACGAATAAATGAAGAAAAGCACGGTAACGATAATTCCTCGACGGCCGACTGGGCCCGACTGCCGACCGAGCGCGACCGAGCTGCGTGGAGCTCGGTTCACCGGTGGTCGGCCCACCTCCAGACTCACAGACCACCAATAGTCGACTAACTCGGCCCAACTCGGCGCTCTTCGACTATACTCGCTTTAAGATTCATTTTCTCTTTCTCTCTTACGTATGCACACGGTTAGACTTAAACTCTCTTATACCCTTTCCTCCCTTTCTCACTCTTTCTCTCTTGCACCCCACGCTCTTCAGCGTCGCCATCTTTTTTAATGGTGAACTTATACCTTTCGCGAGAAGAAAAGATAAGAGAAGAGATGATGTTACGTTCATTCTCTTGTGCTTCTGCTATCTCCTACTACTAATATTACTAGTTAGTCTCTACTTACTACAGTAGTCTCTTCATTCGCTAATTCTCCCCTCGTGCGCAGCCTCCAAACAAATCGGGCAGGCCTGGCTCGAGCGCGTAGGCGAGGAGGGTGCATGTCGAAGGGCCATGCCATAATGCGACGCCTGATTATCGAACGAACGAACGCGCCTTCGCGAACTTTCCTTTACCACATTCTTTTGCTTTTTTATTTTTACTTACAATTACCTCCCTCTTTATACCCGCTTCTATATTTATCTCATATTAGCGATTCTTTTTTCATGTTTTTCATGTTATACGTTCCTAGTCTTCTGTATCGATCTGTAAACGTTTTATAGGACAATAATAGATGAACAATATTTTGTATGCTAACAAGAAACGATCATTCGACTCTAGAAACATTGTTACAAAATTGTTTTACACTGGTCTTTGACCACGTTAGCTTATGTCCTATAAATATAGCGAATTTGATAAACCGGTTGTTAAAGATACCATCATGTTTTTGTAGAATGGTGAAATAATATCGAATTACTAACAGAATCGATAGGCATTCCTTTTAAACGCGGTCTATTTATTACAATTGGTATGGAAAGATCGCATGAATCTTATCCACATGTAAAAAAAATAACGTCAGTCGATTCTATGCGAGGTCATAAAAAGAAAAAAATAGTGATAGAATGCCATTCAAACAAGGACGGGTACCTTGCTCGGCGCTGCTTATTTCCTAGATGTTAATAAAACTTATAAATGTGGTAGTATAAATTTCCGTATGTAATAATGCGTCATCCGTAGCACAGTACTGTAGCTATTGAGTTGTTCAACAATGCGCATGTGCAAAGTACTTCATCGAATCATTGTATATATGATGCATTTAGTTCATAATTAATTTACTGAAATATTGCTATAATATTCTATCCAAATGAATTCATTTGAAAATTGTTCGATTTGTATACAATTTAGACTAACTCCGAATCCTGAACACAATTCATTTACAAAACATTACATAGTATAAAAAAAGGAACGTATTTAGATTGTCAGTATGCAATTTTATTCAAAAGTGCAAAACCAACAAATTTTATTTAAAGTAAAAAGAAAAATTTTAAGAACGTCTACTAAATTGTGTAACGGGTTGAGTCAGTTGCAATCCGGTAATGTTATTGAATTCCAACATCTTCAACATTTCCTTGGTTTCAGGATCGACTTCGATGATGTCGTGTTCCAAAGCAGAAACTTCTGGAACATAGTTGTCTCTGCGTTCCCTTTCTTCTTCTTGGAGTTTGATAGAAATACCACGGACCTGGCTGTGTTTCAATCGCTTCATCAAGTGAGTGACAAATCTATAAAGTAAATATTTTTGTTCAACTAGTTTTTGCATAGAGTTTTAATAAAAAATAAACAAAGTACTTGAAACCATACCCAGCAATTTTGTTTCGTAGAGATTTGCTAGGAATGATAGCAATTTCTTCGCATATCCTCTTATTCGTGTGGAAATCCAAGGTTAGGCGATGATGATATTTTTCAATAATCATCTTTGCCGCCTTTTTGACGGTCTTCGTACGAACACGGCTCTATAACCACACATCGAATACACATTAGAATTATCTTGTTAATCAATAATACGTAGAAACGAAATTATTTAGAATTATTGTGTGGAACACTGCTGTACATAACCTCCACCTTTGTAACACACGCGTTTCGAATCACATTATTTTTAATTGTAAGTTCATGCGTTTTCACCGAATATCAAATATAATAACTTGATAGCAAAATATTTTTTCACGATATTTCGATAGATGCAATTTATTTTTTTGGATTAATATTACAGTGTAAAAATATAAATACGTACCATGTTCTCTAATAATCCGGAAAACCTACGAGCTTAAAGAAAGAGAAACTAAAATGGTGGATAGTCATGCGTTAGACACCGTGGCAGATTTAGGAACTACTAGCGACGTCTATTAAGTACGAGTATTTTCAAATATCCGTCGGTAATAATCTGCTTTACCTTTAAATATGAATTGAATATATTTTAAAAGCTATTAATTTTATTATTTAGATATATAATGTTATACAAAAAAAAACTATTGCCAAATTTAGCGAACGATAAATATCATTTTAATTACTATCGTTTCATACTTACCGATCGAGTAGATCGAATAATTATTTTCAACTAATTAACGATAAATAAAAAATATTTGATAAAATAAAGAGCACTTATTCATTTTTTTCTGCTGTTAAGGTGCCCGGCCAGCGTTTCTACGGTAAAATTTTCAGATGCAATCTTTTTTACGAAAGAGTAAAATGAAAGAAGATAATCCAAGAAAATCCTGACAGAGGTCGCAAGAGTTGCCCACGAGATGGTGCTGTCGGCGACGAATCAGCGGAGGGGACGCAGAGCGTCATCGGCTCAAAACATGATGCACGTAGTTACTGTATTCGAGAAGGAGGTTAGTGAGAATAATACGGAACAGTTAATCTTATCGCGAGTGACAATTCTTTTGGGACGCATCACGAAATGGTTTGTTAATCACGGATTGAGGGACATTATCGAAATAGATGAAAAAATGCGAAAGATGTACAGTTATCGGTGATAAGCGTGAAGGTTGTGCTTGATTAGTGGTGAACGCGTCATTCGGTACTGTCGGTAAGAGTGGAGGAGAGAGAGAGAGATAGAAGAAGAAGCGTGGTGGGAGACGGTAGCGCCGCGCGCGCACGATTCTGCAAGTACGAGGAAATGCAGTGAAGGAGTAGGAGGAGTGGGAGGTGTATGGTGTAGTGGGTAGTTGCAATGTGGAAGGTGGTGGGGAGAAAAAGGAGGAGAAGAGCCGGTGGCGACGGGAGCGTGAGAGAGAGTGGAGTGGGGCTCGTGGGAGCGAAGGAGAGGAGGCGAGTTTGTTTATCGCCTTGGTGAACGGTGCGAGAAGTAGTCAGTCAGTGCGGTGCTACACTTGGCCTGCGGTGGTCGGAGTGTTCGGTAGAGTCCTGCTTTCCGTCTTCGCGTCTCTTTCGCTCTCGCGTGTCCTCGTTCTAACTTTTTTTAAGTTTCCTTTTGACACCTTGGTTTCTCTACTTCGGGTGAGTGCGAACGGCCAATGCTCGTGCTTCGTTTTATCGAAAAGGAAGGAAGGAAGGAAATTCGTGTGAAAAAATTTCAGTGATAACGCAACGAAACAAACGCAAGAAAAAAAGAAAGAGAGAGAGAACAAAAAAATATACGCGTACACACACATAAACACACACACACACATGTTGTCAACATCCGTCTAAAAAATCGTGTTCGGATTGGAAGAAGAGCCGAGAACCAGGTCGTAATACGACAAACATGCCACGAAGAAACAACGCCGAGGGATAGGATCTCTCGAATCTCGCGCGCATACATTTATCACATATACACACAGACGTACCACCATACATAGGTTTCTTTTTTCTTCTCTTCAATTTTTACCTTCTATTTCTCTCTTTCTCTCCACGTATATTTTGTTCTGAAGTACCTCTCGACCGATGTGAAATTCGCCGTGGGATACGTCCACTACAATCTCGCACGAACTATATCAAAGAGGTAAGTTCGTTCGTGCCACGATTTAACCTCCTTTTCCTTCACTTCTCCACTTTCGTGCCTTCCACGTTTCTTTCCACCTCTCCGTTTTTTTCCTAGCCTCATCTGGTTCTTTTCCTACACATATTTCCGTTTATCCATACTCTTCATATAGTAGTTTCGTTTCTATTTTAACTGTGCATATTATGTGTAAGCAACCAGCACGTTTATTACGATCACGTTTATTCTCACCAATTCCAAGTACTATAATTCGATCCGATGACTTTCTCTTTTATATATACGATTGGCATCATATTAAATACGTTCAGAATACTTGTATTACTTATTCACGCATATTTACTTAGATAACTTAATAGATTACCACCGATGTGAGATTAAAAAAAGTCACTTTCCCTAAAATAACTTTAAAGAAATTATTTGTTATTTATATGTTCCAGTTTTTTTTTTAATATTAATTTTCTACACTTTTGTTCATATACATTGTTCTAATTGATGATAATTATACTTAATTTGCTACTCAAGTCGTTTAACTGTTAATATAAAAAATGGTGGAACACTAATGAGAGTTCATGTCCAAGATTCTCTCGAGTTCTCTTATAACACATTCAAATCTTACATGATTTCTGTGCAAGAACTTTTATTTCTCACTTTGTGTATATTAAAGATTACTTTGCATATTTCGGAGATCGAAATTTCTCTCTTATTGAGACTCGTTAGAAAGGAGAAACAGGGAGCACGAGTTTGATGAAAAGAGAAAGAGAGATGACATGTTCGATTAATCGCAAGTAAATACGTTCGATAAAATTATCGCGAATTTCTCTTCGTCGAAAGGTCACGCCGACTCTCGATCTTTCCCTTTCATTAGAAATCATCGTCAATGTTTTAGATTTCATTCTATTTCATTCTTCTTATCTTTCGACCAATTAATAATATCGTTCCCACGAAAGTTTCATTAATTTAGTCTCATTTCAAATAATCCCCATTGACGTGGCGCGAAATTTAAAAATGTGTCTTCCATCTTTTTCGATCTAGTGACCTTTAAAGATATTCGTCGTTTGATTTAACAACAATTATAATTATCATTAATCATTTTTTTTTTTATTCGAGCCAATTGAAAATAGTATTGTTATCAAAGATTAATCCGAACCAATTAACTGTACCAATAAAAATCAAAATGTAAAACAAAACTGTTGACCAGTTTTGTTTAAAAATTTCTAACGTAAATTTCATTCATAGTTAAATTGTTATCCCATTTAAATTAAACATTTAAAAAGTTTGAAAGATAGACGACGAGAAGGCTAATGAACGATAGGAAAGAGAGAGAGGGATGGGTGGGTGAAGGGGGGGACGAGAAAAGGAAATGTGATGCGTGCGCGTTTACATGAGTGCCGACGAATACAACGACAATGATGATGATGATGATGACCATGATGATTCTTTTTTAGAGCAGTCACGCGTTCACGCGTGCGATAGAGAAACATATGGGATAAAACGCAGAGAATATGCACATATGTATAGTTGTACATAATAAACTCGTATATAAATATATATATACGCAAGTACATATAACGCATTTACAAGGGAAGGAAGAACAAGTCGATGCAACAAGTTTGCCTGCCTCTCGGTTACATACGCGAATAAATAATAAATTCGTTCGATCTTCTTCTATACAAACCTTATTTCTATTTTCCTTTTCTTTTTCTTCTTCTTCTTCTTTACTTTTGTAACGATGATCTATGATAGTCATTAAAAATGAAAAAGAATTGTTGAACACGTCTCTTAAGTTTTCTTACATATTTTAATATAGAACTATTTTAAAACCGTTGCACAGTTACCTGTGCAAGTATATTTTCATACGATTACATTATCTTTTTCTTATCTATTATTATTAGATCTTTCGACAAATAATTTCGTCTTTTTCGCATAAATATTTATATATAATATACAATTTAAAAAAATGTCTTAGATTTTAAATATTAACAAATATATAAATCTTTTATATCACATATTGAGAAAACGATATATTATTTTTTGGACAGTCTAATGTTTTTATTTATTGTTAGAAAATGTATAGACAAGTTAACGCAATTTTTGTAACTTCCAGTCTCCATATGTCTCGTTTTCTTGATATATTTCTCTCTTTCTCTCATTTATGTTATTCTCCTCCCCTTTGAAAACCTCCTCTCAGCAACGTGACTTGTGATATACGTAATTACGTTTTACACCGTACGAAATGGAATTTCTCGATTTAGTCTCTCACGTTCTAACGTGTTATACGTATTTACCTCATACTAGTCTTTGTTAAACTCACTCTCTCTCTCTCTCTCTCTCTCTCACACTCTCTTTCTTTCTTTCTTTTTCTTTCACGTGTTTCGTTGTTTGTTGCAAAGAGCTAACTGAAACTAAGGACGAGTAATAGAAAAAAAAGAAAAATAAAAAAATTCCCAGAAGGAAAAACACAGCATATGCGAAAAGTGTTGGACGTAGTAAAAAAAATAGAAAGAGAGATAGATGGAGAGGGGAGTGAGAGGGTGGTCGAGAGTGAACGAGTTTATGGTCGAGTTTAACACGACACCACCACGGCCAACACTACTCGCCTTTTTTTCGTTTATATTCAAGGCAATGTTATGCGTCGTTTATTCCCACCCCCTCTACTCCCCGTTCCACCCCACCACTGTCGGATAAATTAGATAATTTATCTGTGATTTTTCGCAAAACTACCTACCCCGCTCGCGCGTTCGTTCGCACAAATTTTTGTACCTTTATTTATTCATTTTTTCCTTTTTTTTTTTTTCCCATTTTGTTTTTTTTTTTTTAATGTTATATCTCGTTCCGTTACGCCCCTCGGCGTTAACCTCGCGTTAAAATCGTCGATTTTTGCACGAAAAATTTAGAACAGATCTTCTCTCTCTTTCTTTTTTTTTCATTCTTTTTTTTCTCTTTTACTGTTTCGCGAAAAAGAAACGTTTACGAAATAATGAATCATTAATTAGACGATCGATCGGATCTTTCGAAATTCTCTTTCGTAACTTTCACCGAAAATATTTTAATCGATTTTTATGTAACATATGCCGATACATATATAATATATCGATGCGTATAATAAATATTAATAACGCATTAGAGTATCAACGCGATTTGATTAATTATTATATAGCAATACGAATTACGAATAACGTTTGATACGTAAAAAAATATAAAAGTCAATTAAAGTAAAGTTCGGTTTTTTGTCGGGTACTTCATTAAAACATGTATTTTATTATTCACATCATCGTAAAAATATAATACGCTGTGTATATTATTCGTCTGGAGAACATTAATGAGGATTATAAAGAAGAAACGAATTTATTAATAGGATACATGTGGGTTTTGTAGTAGTAGTGATGGTGGTGGGTGGTAT